CCAACAACTTTGCACCTCCTCAGTGCTGTTTCTCTTAAAAGAATCAGACCTCGACAGCCCAATCAAAGTCTTAAACAGTTACTATGAATATCTCATAAAAGGTCAGACCTTCTGCTTATATGTGTTGATATATTTGTTTATGAACACCATGGAGGAGTGAGCTATCAACATGTTCTTTGTCCTTCACTGAAAAACAATATGCACACTCCACACCAATGCACACAATACAGAGTCCACAAACCCCTATATATCATCATGAGGAAGCAGAGTCTCCCCTTCGCCATTGAGAGCAGCAGACTCTGTGAAACTATATGTAGGGCACTCACGGAGGAAATGTAAATATAGAAAGAATAAAATATCATGTAAGAGAGATGTGAGATAATATGCTGTTTGTGGGTAAGACCTTCCCTCTGGCAGCTCAACCTAAAGTCTGATAATGTCAAATCAAAATCCGGAGGTGTTACTATCTGGCTCTGCTCCTTTCAAACACCATCATGTCCTGTGGTAGATAGTCCTCACTTCATTGCATAACTCTCTCAACTCTGTCCAGAAGAATTTACAAACACTATTATAGGCCTAAATGGCTCTTCATAGCTTTGGGAGAGAAATAACAAACACCCTTGGCTGGTATCATGCTACTGTACAGAATAGTTAACCAAAAGAAAGTCATTACAATACTCTCTTAACCCATCCCTGAAGTTGTGTTTTATTTCATTCACACATATTTGAGTAATCTTTTATTGTTAATGTGTCTACATCTCCAAATCTCACCTTGTTCCACCATGTGAGGTCATGAAGCGTTTTCAAGTTAACACCTTTTACCTTTAGTTCAGGAAAGATGAGCAATTCCAGGGCTGAAATCATGCAAATGATTCTAGTGAAGGTGTGTGGAGTTTAAAAACCCAGTGGAGCTCTTCCTGTATTACCACATGACATCACAATGGCTGTTTCCAGTTTAAGAAAAGAACACAGCCTAAATATGCAGGATTTCTGTGTTAAACATGTGTGACTGGGACCAGAAAATACTGTAATATAAGTCATTTAAGAAAAATATACTAAAGAATACTAATAGGTAAAACAGTAAGATCTCCATGAGGACACGCAGGTCTTTCCACCAAAAAGTTACATCTATCTGTGTATTATGAGCACACTACTGATGCTGTTCACTTTTGTTTTGTTTTTGTTTGTTTACTTTTTTCAACCAGATAAAAATCAATCAATGTGTACCATAAGACAACAGATACAACAGGACTTCTGTTTATTTATTTTGTGTTAGCTCGTACTTCCAAGCAGGCACTTTCCAGTCAACCCAGGTATGTTGTAATGATAATGGGCATAGTGAGAGATGTGTCAAGATAAAAGTTGGAAAACTTGGGAATCTAAGTTTAATCTGACTTGTACATATAAATAGTAAACAAAACAAAATATTCAGCTAACTCAGTCACTCACTAACAGCTCCTTTCTGCTCTTGTCTCATATGAATATTTATAATCTAAATAAAATGAATAGTCAACTAATACAAAGTTTGGTCAGTTATCCAGTAAAGAGTGGAGATGGTGTGTTTCTATCAGGTTTTAATTTGTCAGCATAGTAGATTATTATATTATACATTTACTCTATTTTGATTTGTCACCATTTGTTAGATAAAGCTTTTCATTCTAATTGTGTATACATGTAATTCTTACATGTCATAACAGGTTACAAAAGTCCTTTAAACTAACACATTAAAATAAGCATATTTTTCTATAAAATCATTTATTATGTGCTTGTCATATTACATTGGATAGGCCGTTTCTCCCCCACATGGATTTGGTCATGTAGAAAAGATTTGTGAGATCAAGAAAGGCGGAAAAACAAACATTATCATAAACTGTGCTGCAACTCAGGCAGTTCTGAGAATTGCATGTCTAATTAGTTAGCTCCACTCGCTGCCTTTGTTTCCACATCAGCACACAGCGGTTTTCCACAGCTATCATGCTAAACCAATCATACTGATTATTCACCAAAATCTAGGCCATGTCTAATCAGCACAGCCCACTATGATTGCATCATTATTGAACCATGTGGAGATATCCATCTCTCTGTCAAAGGCGCATTAGTCCATCAGTGTTCGGGACAGCCACAGTCCTGCTGCCAGCTCCCGGCTCCTCTCTGTCAGTTTCCACTCAGCCTGATAACGTAACTCCTGCTCCTCCTCTCCGCGATCTATGAGCTCCACTGTCAAACACATGTCTCTCTCCAGGATCATTGAAGCTAACAGCACATTTGACACCTGTCTGTCTCGAGGTAACCTTGGGGAGGAGCGGGATACCCCCCAGCGGGACAGAGGACCTCTTTTAACCTCTCTGCTCTTTGCTTCCTCTTCCTCCTTTTTTACCAATGTCACATTGATGTCCTCTGATGAAGTGGATATAGTAGAAGAGCTCTGATTGGCTGAATCCAAACTGTCACTTGAGAATGACTTCTGTGATTGGTCACAGTCCTTTTGATAGGCCAGCCTTCGGTTAATTCTGTCTAGTCGGTTGATAGACAAACATTGAGGCCACCTGATGGATAGACACCTGGTGACCGCAAGCCACAGATCCTGAGGCCTGAACAGCCCTGATCGCTGAGGCAGTGTCTCACATCCCTCCTGACCCTGTGGGCAGCTCTGAAATGCAGGCTGCAGCTCGGGGACTGGAGCTCTGCTGGAGCTCTGCGGTGTTTGGGTTTGGATTCCTCTCCGTGGTGCTTGAGTTTGGACTCCTGTCTGTGACTGGGCTTGGACTCCTCCCTGTGACTGGTCTTGGGTTTGGACTCCTCTCTGTGACTGGGTTTGTGGGTCCTCTTCAAAACTGAAAGAGCAGTTAAAGCCCTGGCTCCTCTTCATCCGTCTCACTGACAACTCGTCAGAGCTGGACCACGTTTCCTCGGCAGATGAACTTGATCCATGTTGTGATGAGTCCTTCGGGTCCTCTTCATCTGGTCGCAGCTTCTCTTCTGAGACAGTGGAACTGCTTGCCCTTTGGCCTTTGTTCATACTTCTAAAAGCATTGTAATAATCATAGCATCATAAACATACCTAAATGCTACCAGACTAACTCCCTGTGTGCTTGGCCCTTCCATAGTGTGTGCTCCGAGTGGCACAGCGCTGCAGTGTTGGGCAGTGATGGCGCTGTGATGTCATGCAAACATGCTCACATAAACAAATGCTGCGTGGCGATGTGTTCACGCTCCAGTCGAGTCAGCGGTGACTTGCCTCAAAGGGAAGTGATGTCACAACGCATGATGTCATAGCTCGCCGGAGTCTGCCCTGTGTTTGTGTAATAGCTCAGATGGGCAGATGCCCTACCCCCAAATTTGGCCTAGATGTGCAGTAGAGGAGCCTTAATGCGTGCAAATGTCTTCTTTTACTATTATATTATATTATATTAATGTGCTTTTGAAATCAAAGGTTCTGTACTAAAATATCTTTAAATAAGCTATGAATTCCCCAAGACCTTAGTTGCCATCATCAAAATGGCATAATGGCTGCTTTTTGGAATCAAAACTATTCTATTGATTATCACAAAATAGTTGTACATCCTAAATACCGTACATTTGTACAACTCTGTTTGTGTTCAGAGTTCAGAGTTTCTCCACTGTACCTGATGTACATGATGTCCGTTCAGTATATGTGTCACAGTCACTCTGTCTCATGCTCCGCTGGCCTTCCCACTCTCACGTCAACAGTCCATGTTCAGTCACTCAGTGCTCTCCCAGGATGCCATTTATGGACATCCAGCTGCACAGAGGAACATGACTTTTAGTTTGTTCTTTGTTACATCACCTCAGACCAAAAGGACACAGGCTCAGTAGGCTGCAGAACACACAGAGTACAGTCAGTGAACAGTAGTTGAATATACACCACATACACAAGGGATCACAGCAGCTCTAAATATGTCTCTGGACATATTTTCCATTCAATTTATAGAGAATTCACTTTTTAAACTTCAACATTTTGTCCTTACAGTATTTTAATGAACACTAGTAGGTAATCATAATTTCCCTCAGTAGTTGATAACACCTCTGCTGGTGTTGTATATTACTGTGGGTCATGTCATACCTTACTGACTGATGTAGTGAGAACTGAGGATGAGCATAAACCGTAGCCAGGTGCACAAGCCATAACTGTAAAATGTCCCCTGGCAGATGAATACTTGGCTGGGCTTTATGCCTCTCTTGCTCTTGTGTGTGGGTGAAGATGTCTGCACTAGAGCCCGCAAGATCAGGCATCCTGCAGAACCCTACAACAGTACTGAATAATGCAAAGAGTTATTTCTATGCAGTGGGACAGACTCTCTTCTCCTATAGATGTCTGAAAGGGCTGAGTATTCGGAGTAAGTCACCTATGGTTATAAAATTAATTTACCCAACTGACAGTATTTAACAAAGATACTACCAGGGCACAATACAGGGCTTCTATACTTTGTTATCTCTGTGCTCTTCCCTCATTCCCTCTGGCCCGTTATAAGCGAGCACCCATAAATAATTGGTATGTGAATGAACTACACATTTTCGGCATAAAACTAGATTGATTCATGAACAAATTACTAAAATTATGAACCTATACAAACTACTAGATCTATTGTAGTTAACACTATCTCTACTACATATTTTCAATGCAAAGAGACACTATAGATACACTCTATAGAGAAACTGACATAAAATATTAATAATAAGAGTTGGAAAGGCGGCAGAGCAGAGTTCCTTTTGTCTATTTTGGAAAGAATCTACATATATTATTCACAACAGCGAGCCAGAGAACTGTACAGGAGCCATTAACTCACCGGGACTGAGCAGAAAACTCGATAAAACGTTTTGTTCAGCGGGAGCAGGTGAGTTCAACAGCAGTTTGTGACATGTGCGTTATACTGCCAGACGAGGGCGCACTGATCTACACTGTAAAGCATGCCGGGAACGCTGCACATAATAGGACTTGTGATCGCGTTTCCCATTGGCCAGCACAAAGTGGGCGGGCACGATGCTGGATTCTCATTGATATAGCCTCTACAGCTGGTGGCTTCGGACTAAAAGCTTGCCACACGGAGTGAGAGAAAGGTCTGAGAAAGTGACGGAGGATTCATGTAGGGGCTATTAGAGGAGGACAGAGGACAGGTTCGATCGTTTTGAAGAGTGGCACACCAAAGAAATAGACAGGCCAAAATGCTCTGCCACGTTACTCGTCCGGATTCAGTAGTGATGGAAGTGGAAGTTGATGCGAAGGCGAACGGAGAAGATTGTCTGAACAAGGTAAGACACAACGCGCTGCTTTACATTTGTTATTTTGTTGCAGCTTTAGCGGAACAGAGAAATTTAGTCGGAAGTAATCGCAGAATTAGTTATGTGTTATATGTTACGACTAGTCTTCTTATTTATTATTTATTTTTTTGTTGTTGTTTTAAGTTGGGCTATTTTGCATAAGCATAACACAATTTAAAGTTCTGCAATATGGAGGCCAATCTACCCCTGTTCCATCATCAACTAGGCTGTAAAGCTGTATTTCAGTTTTCATGTAGACTAACCCGTTTTTTACGAGGAGACAAAATGTCCCATGCCCAAGTGCGCGCTTCTACATCTTAATTGGCTTATTCACTAAAAATGAATTTACATGTAAGTGTTGCAAATAGCAGACCTTTTCTCGTGATGTGACATAGTTTTTATTCTCTGGGGAATTGCTGGTAATGGTTCTTTTTCTACCTGCACGGCTTAGTCATGGGCATATGCTCTCATAGGTTACTCCAGTTCATTCTTGTTGCTGCTTCTAAAGTGTGGGGGGAAAACGTGCACACGCGCTAAGCAGTACTGAAACTTCCTCTCTTTCTGATCAGTTGCCAAGAGTTGTTTTCATCCAACTGTAAATCCACTTTGTATGCATGGCTTATTTCCAAACTTGCCCGGGGTATGAATGGGTTTTTCATCCCTATCATGCCGCCGGAGATTCCCGTAGCAGACGTTCAGCAGCAGCCCTTACGTAATAGGTCCCGAGCCGGCTGCTGTGGAGGGGGCGTGGGAGAGCTGAACCCCTTTACCCCCTTCACGGAGGCTCAAGGTCCGCTTCCAGTGGGAGATTATTGACGGGGCTCTATCAGCATGTGAACGAGACTAGAGGGATTCCAAGGGTACAAAGTGCTTTAGACTGTACTGAACCTCAGCTATAAATGATCTGTGCTTGCAGCCACTAGGTCAATGCCAACTACCTGCTTCAAGTTATATAACATCTTCATCAGTTGGCTACTCTGAAGAAAAATGTAAGAACAAATTAAAACGAGAATTAAATGACTAGATCCTGATCTCGTGGTTAATTGCACAGCCTTAAATAAATCATTTAGAAAAGACTAATTAAATATGTGATCGAAACTGTGTTAAAGTGTATTGAGATGGGGGACCATACACACACACACATAGCCCTAAAGCAACATGTATTATCAATAGACAAAGCGATCCCCATTACATTCATCATTGTTGCATCAAACTCTTCTGTCCTTTTGTCCAGGTTTGCAGAAAGTTGGGCATAATTGAAGCGGACTATTTCGGGCTGCAGTTCACAGGCAGCAAGGGCGAGAATCTGTGGCTTAATCTGAGAAATCGCATCTGTCAGCAAATGGACAATGTGACACCGTGTCGACTCCGGCTCCGAGTCAAGTTTTTTGTAGAACCCCATCTCATCCTCCAGGAGCAAACAAGGTAGGTTTACCATTCACCCCAGTGCCCTGCTACACATGGGACACAATCAAAGTCCATATCCTCACTCAACAGCAGCACAAACCATACTACTACCTACTGCAAGCCTGTCACGATAACAAATTTTGAAGTGTGACATATGGTTGAAGTAAATATAGATGATATTCTAATTGTACAGTTTTGTTAAATAATATGAACTGCAATAAATAACAGAATGCCACTCATAAGTAGTTAGTTTGCATGTATAATGACTCATAAAAGTTCATAATTCAACCTGCTACAGCTCATATCTCTGTCATAGAACAGAAAAATTTCCCACTAGAACTAAGAAAAAGTCCCTACGATAAATAAATAAATAAATACTGACCTTCTAACATGATTGCTCCAGTCAACATATATTGAACAATAGGTCAATATAGTAATCATCATGACAGGCCTACCTACTGCCAGAGAAAAATACAGACGTTTTTGTGGGATGTGGAACGCAGCAGAAAGCATGTGTTTGAGAACAACAAAGCCATAGTTTGCCAGGGCCTAATCTCATCACTTTGTTCCTGGTTGAGCAGATATGCCCTTTAGTAACCTCGACAGTGGCTTCTTCCGGGGTTACTATAGGTCGGTCTAGAAAGAAACACCAAGCAGGAAATGTGATCTAGCTGCTGTGAGCCTATGCGCGCTTTGTGGCTCTCCCTAGGGACTTGAGTGCCACATCCAGGCCCTCTGTCACTGCCCCATTCAGCTCTAAATAACTTCTGTTGTGCTTTTTGTTTCAACTGTGAGACATTTTCACTTGACAGAAAAGATGCAGACAGCCTGTTTTTGCATGTTGAATCACACATATGCTGTTTTCCATATAGTTTTCATTTGTGTACATTACTGTGCAAAAGTCTTACAAGTTAGGTAATGATCAAAGTAAAGGATATCAATGGACTGAAACTCACTGGGCTGCCAAAAAACTGTGTCGTTCAGTTTTAAATGCATGTCTAAAATGTAAACAAAAAAAATAGATTCTCTAAAGAGTTGGACCAATTATTGTTATTTTACAATACATTTTTGTGTTGTACAATCTTTGTGTGCAGTAGGAGCTACATTTTATCTTGCGCCTCCTGATTATAAAGTGGAGATGTGAGTATGTATTTTCCCATCAACCTCTTGTCTATTAATAGCATTCTCCATCTTCACTTGTGGAATATGATTATTTTATATAATGCACTCACATCAGATGATACAATGTGTCCAGAAACTGTAGAGAGAAATACAAAAAAGTATTTTCCTTCTTCTTTCAATTCCTTTTAAATTGGCCCAAATGGTCTGATGGATATTTAGTTGAGATAAGATATCTTTTTAATTAACTGATGTTTCTTACACTTGAGTCACTGGCCCATATTTTACCACCAGTGTGAAAGAAAAGTGAAAGGTTGTGGGGGTGTCTTGGAGGAGGGCACTAGACTGCATGACCTCCCTGAGATTAGCAGGAGCTATCAACAGATGGCAGGCAGCAGGCCTGTGCTGGAAGGGCGGGGGTCACTGGGATGTTAAAATAAAGTTAAAATGAAGGTGAGATAAGGATGTAACATGATAGAGAAGGGTAAACCAGGAGGCTTTTAAAAACTAGTTGAAACAACATCAAGTAAACAAAGTGTTTAGATCATTTTCTCTCACTTAGGACTGAAGACATTCTGTATGGTGCACATTATTTGTTTATAAATTGTTCATTGAATTCTTGACTTGAAGTTTTCATTTACTAGTGCTGTAATGAGGACCAAACAGGCAGAGGGTCCCCTTTCTCTCACTGCACGAGCTGTTACCTTTGACCTAGTTTAGGGACCACTGCCACAGAGGGGCTTATTCACGCTCACACTAGCACTCGCTCTTGTTTTGTTCAGTTATGTCTTTGCACTGGGAAGATTTACATTTTCTCAGATCAGATTCATCAAATGTTTTCCATCCCACAAGGACTCTGCTCCTAAATCTTCATACTCATCTCCACCCACTTGTTCCCGGCGTATTTTATTCACGTGTATCACGTTCTCATTGTATCGAACCCATATGTTTGACTTGGCAACTGGTGCAAGTTGGAACAAATCTTGCAGCAGAATATGGAACGCGCAGAGCAGTGGGTGGGCCTATACATGAATTACATAACACCACCACTGGACTCGAAGCTCAGAGCGACTTACGTAAGGAGTGCCACGTAAACCCCGGGTCACCATTTGTTCACACATACATGGAGATTATTCAGTACATTGTGTCTGCTTTATAAACCCAGCCCAGCACTGACTTTTACTTTTGTTTTGTAAAACAAGTTCGCCAGGCTGATTAAAACATCCAATTTGCATTCGTTAGCACGCTTGTCATGTTCTTATTTGGTCTTTTCCGTTTTCATAGAAAAACACGGGGGAAGTATCACCCAGCGGCCCCAACAACAGCCTGTTATCTGCACCATTAGGCCCATTTGCTCTGTTAAATATGTGAATGTTTCCCTTCATTAGTTTCACTGTTTAACATTCTCATCAGGACAGAGCTGTACACTCCCAGGGCACCGCTATCAGCCAGGCTTCATCAGGGGTCCCTCTCATTAACCCTTTGAGGCACAACTCTTTATTCTCCCATTTCAAATTCCAAATGCCTTCACTCCTCAAGAACAGCCTCTTTTATATTCTCTTAATCCTTGTGTTAAACCATCTCTGGTCTCTGTGAATCCTCATTATTTCATAAAATGTCATGATGGCTTCATTCAGATTGGTGAGCTTTACAGAAGAGACCCACCGAACAGGCAGACCAGTGTTGGGTTGAGATACTTAAAGCTCTCAGTTCTCATCAGTGCTTAATTACTGTCCTGACAGTCACTCTCTTGCCTCTGTCTTGTACAATTACAGGGAGACTAACTCCTGCTGGTTTTAAGGAGTCGAGACAAATCGTCTTTTTTAGTGGATGTGTTGAGAGTGTCTGGGCTCTGCTGCACAATAGTGACTTGTCTAGTTTAGTGGTGGACATCTATTACTAATGGACCTGTGTGCAGGACAGATTGACATGTCTGGAAACAAATCTGTCATTCCTATTTTGACAGATTGAATTAGTTTTATCTTTAAACAAGCTGCTCTCCTCTATGTTTAACTTAAATTTTGCCATCCAATTTCCATGTACTCAAATCCAACAAATTCTAGACCACCTACAAATCCCCACATCAGGCAAATCTATGCTCATTGTTCTTTGAGCATTTTGCTAATGCATAATAAGGTTGCTATTTTGATTTTTGCTTAAATTGCAGTTTTATGACTCCGTACAGAACACAACACCACAAAACCAGGCACTTTGCATACAATTGCTGCTTTGTTTCATCAGTGCACAAAGCTGAGTCGCAAGCAACCGCCTATTTTTTTAACACCATAGCATCTTTCCTTGCACTAAGTTTAAGATTATAAAAGTTGCATGTAGTAGTCCTGTATATTCCATCATGCATACCCTTAAGAAAATACTGTGGGGGTTACTATAGTGCATTGACTGAGAGTAACCTCCCACCACTGCTTCTAGCAAGAGTTATTTGACTAGCTTACAAACCGCATTGTTCAGAGCGGAGGCCAAACTCCTCTGCTGATTGGCCAGAGCAAGCAACAGTCTCCAGGACGAGGCATTGAATTTCAGTTTGCAAGGGACTTTTTGTTCCTTTTAGCAGTGGCCTAGTTGACAACTTCTCTCTTACTGTGGTATTTTTTTTTCCTTTCAGAGACTGTCACAATACATTTTTATAGGTGGGTGGAAGCGTTTAGTGGAGTTGATGACTTTATTGTTACCTGCAGTAACTTATTATTGTATACTGTGTCATTAAAGCGTTTATGGAAAATTGACTAAGAACGGATAGAAACTGTTAGAAATGTTATAATCTTTCTTCTGTTTTGGGTCTTTCTTATTGTTCTTTGTTACAGGGGAAACTTAAATGTATTGGGGAGAGGGGAAAAAAAGTCAAATTTCAAAGTTTAGTGCCTCCATCAGTAATGGTCTATTTTTAGACTTTTCTCCGAGTCCAAGCTTGCTTTAATTTAATTACTTCAACCAGATTGACATTCCTGGACCTCTGCAGCTGACCCTTCTCTGGCTCTCTCCTCTTTGTTCTACGCCTGAATGCCTGATATAAACAGTGTATATTATGACGACCTCTTCAGTCTTTATTGGTTAGTAAATGTGTGAAGGACGAGGAGAGATGAGTTGTAAACAGAGGAAAATGGGCCAAGACGCTTTAGTTGTGGCTGATACTCCTGGATTGCAGCATGTGACTCACATGTGGGTTAGGAAAACAGAGACTAGAGACCTTGAAGGGCACTTATGAAAATGTGTGTGGGTATAATTTATGTCTTAAACACAGTTCTTAATGGTTTAGTTTGCCTTTTTATTTTTTGCAATAAATATTTTGTCAGTATTGGGACATTGATATTGAGATATAGATATAGATATGTGTATATGTGTATATATGTATGTATATATATATATATATAATATATGTTGTGTGTGTATATATATATATATGTATATATGTGTGTGTGTGTGTATATATGTGTCTCAGTTGAGGATTTTGATTCAAATTCATTTTTTTACACCTTGACCTCTGCACTGTATGGCCTTCTCAACATATTCCTGACTTTTTTTTTTTTACTAAACCGATGCTGACAGCTGAGGGGGAGCAGCTGTCTAGTAAAGCTTTATCAGTGGTCTGGTTTAAACAGTTGCTTTTGTGAGAGGCAACTGTATTCGTCATTTCACATCTCTGCTTCACCAACCAATGAACTCTAGTAACCCCTGTCAGCGCTAACCTGTTCCACTGCACATTCTAATAGGTGTTTTCTTTCACAAACAGAGGCTGAAGTTACGCCTTAAGTCTATCTAATGACAACAGCCCAGACACTGTTGGCTATGTTTTTTTTTACTATGTACGAGTCAGACATCATTATAAGAATTAAAGTAAAACCTGATTCAATAATTAAATTTAAAAATGACAAAATAAAGGTGGTCTTTTAGTAAGATCTTATTTCAAGAATTTCCCTAATGCTTTATACTAATTATAAAATAGGTTTTGTTTTTACAGCCACAAGTTTGTGTGCCTTGTGCTAGTCCTAAGCTTGGAGAAAATGGACTGTGTGTGTGTGGGAAATCCTAATGAAATCCTAGAAAGCTCATTTGCGGTTTCAACTCCAGTCTAAAACTTGAATGGAATTGACAGAAAGGTTTATAAATGTGGCAAGACTTAATAAAATTTCTGTTAATTGGTAAACTGGAGTAACCTCTCGTGCCCTACAGTAACCCTGTTCAGTTGCCCTGTAGTTACCTTGCATTTGAGTCAGCCCCATTGTTTGCGTCAGGCAGGTATCTAACAGCACGGCTGCATCACATGACTCCTGCTGAGCCTGACACAATGGAGCGGCCTGTGTGTGCGTGCTGGCTCATCGGAGGGAACGGGGATGTTAACACCATATCAAAGCGCTGTTTGTTATGCCTGGGGCCAGTCAGTTGTTATGGTCCAGAGTTTTGTTGGGGTGGAGATCGTGTGCCTCACAGCTGCACATTTCTGCTTCTGTTGATCATTTTTGGAGGTGTTTTGAGTGTGCGTTTGGACAGTTGCTCTTCATTTACAGTATGATGTATGTGCATGCACCAGGTGTGGCCCACTCCGAAAAGAATCTGATGCTCAAATCTATGAGGACCATCACGTCATCTGTGACTGGCTCTCCTGTCTCCTGTTCTCCCATAGGACATCGCATCAAGAAGCAGTGCAATATTGTGTATGGTGGAAAATCTTCAATCAGTGGAAGAATTAGAAATGGGAAAAAGATGTTAAATCGAGGAGCAAATGCTACAAATTCCCACTGAAAAGAAAAAAAAATAGCTAGAAACGGTGGTGCTTTTGCCCCCACACACAAAACTAGTACAGAATCATTGCTCTTCATCCACTCCAGAATTGACAGTTTGTCCTCATCAGAGGTAATGTCCAATTAAACTGACATCACATCTAAAAAGTAGGTTTCTCTTTCAGTGACGCTTCAAATGAAACCGTTGCCTCTTGGGAGTTCTTTGTTAAAAGGAAATAACAAGCCAAGATTCAGTCTGCCTTTCAGTCTGGCACATCAGGGTGCGGCAAGCCAAAATATTCACTGTAAAAATCCAAGCTGGAACCTTTTGGGCTGTACCAAAAACACAGTGTGAAATCCTATCTGACTGTTGTTTTGGTTGGAGGAAAAACAGGCTGAAAACATGGGACAGTAGAAAGCTGCTGAACAGGTTTAAAACTACAGTAACAAGTAGCTCTTCAATCTTGTTAGGTTAGTGGGCCAGAGGTCATCCCACTGAAGGATCTGCAGGGGTTACTACAGTTCATCTGGGTTTGGGATGAAAAAGGATGGAGGTTATTTACCCTGTTTGTCAGCTTCTACTAAAAAAAAGTCCTCTCATCTGTGGGAAGAACAAAGAAAAGGACATTTATGGTTTATTTGTGTTGGTTGTAAATATGTTTTATTTATTCACTCAGATGTCTTGTATTTTGTATTATGTATTTTGGCTTAGAAAAAAACACTGGCTTGTAAAATGATTGGATTCATTTGTATTGTGTGTCTGATGTAACCTAAGTCGATGGGGAAGTTGCACTTAAACTTAATTTCACTTGTACTTATCTTAAAATAGAGAAAAAGAAGTGATTTTTACTGCCTTCAAAATGTGGTGGTGTTGTTGTTTTTTCACCAGTCTGTTACATTGGACCTTTTTTAGTGCATTGTGCTCTGGTTGTGTGACACTGTCTATAATGGCTTACTTGTCTTCACAATTCCTGTTGTTTCAGCATCTTCCTGACCAGCTGTCTCCTCTGTCCACAGGCATCTCTTCTTCATGCACGTGAAGGAGGACCTCCACAATGGTCACCTGAGAATGGGCTCTGACCAGGCAGTGGAGCTGAGTGCACTGCTTGCTCAGGCTGAGTTTGGGGATTACAACCAGAACACGGCGCAGTACTGGTACTCGGAGCTGTGTGGGGAGGAGCCCAGCCAGGATACTATGGACAGGTACAGTCGAAGCCATAATTGTACTGCTACACTAGGGTTGGGCAAATTCACTCTAATTTTTTGATCGAAACCATGCCAGAATATTTTCTCCAACAGTATAAACTCTGCTCCAAACCACATGCTTCTTCAGACAGAGGACTCGCTGTAGACTACCCTAATTAAAAAGAATGTAGTTGGTGATTGGAATAAAGCCCTATACTACATTAATTTAGGCCAGTAGATTGTTTGTATTGCAGGTACATTACACTTGTACAGTTTTTACATCATCAAATAAAAGATTAACTAATTGTAACACTAGTATTACTCTTAATGGCACTACTTAACAGCGTGTCTATCAGCCGCTGTACTTTGGGTAAACCTTATGTAATGGTCCTATTATTACATTATCAGAACGACCCGCTGACCTGTTTTACGTCAGCCCTGTTCTCCCAGGAGTCATTAGTTGACTCTATAAAGATGGACTGATAAGTAAATAAAAGCTGTTCTGAAGAAACAAGGCAAGGATGAAGACGGACTTCCATTATGGGATGTACTTGTGTCAAAACGAATACAGAGGAAACTGTAAACACGTGCCTTCTATTCAGATAATTATCAGTGTAAACAAATGTGCAATCCTAATGAGTGCAGTATTTAAACAGAGAAGCCATTATTGGACCACAGTCAGCCACAGTCTCGACTCCACCTTTACAAGCTGGGAACTGGTCCAAGATTTACAGATTTCATTCTTAACTTGTTTTTGTTTCGTAATATGCACATTGTACAACACCAGTGGAGTTCATGTATTCCCACCAAGCCTGTTCAGTGACAACAACAATATTCACTTCAAGGCACCAAAACACAATGCTATTTTACTGTATTTCCGATTTTTTTTCTAGAATGTAAAATGGCCTAACCTAGAGTAAAGTAACCTAGAATGTAACGTGACTCTCCCCTTTGTGTGTGTGCAGTATTGTGAGCAGACACAAAGGCCTGGAGGGGCTGAGCCAGGCGTCAGTGGAGTACCAGGCGCTGCAGCTCATCTCCTCTCTAGAGCACTATGGTGTGGAGTGGCACTGGGCTCGGGACGCCAATGGGCAGAGAATGGCCATAGGGGTCGGGCCTGAGGGAATTGCCATCTGCAAAGAGGACTTCACCTTAGAGAACAGGTACTGCACTGGAGTTACTGCATGTGCAAATGTTTGAGAGAAGAAGATAAAAGAGCTTTTACTGTTAAAAAAAAACAAACAAACAAATAAACATAATTTAAAGGTAGCTTTTCTGGTAGAGGGTCCATGCTGCTCAACTCCAGGTAGATCTTGCTACTGCTTTAGCTGGAATGTTCCATAGTATGACAACTTGTCACTCTCCATGGAGACAAGCAGGTGACCCCACCAGGCTAAGTTAGTTATAGCTCAGAACATAGCACTTGATGTTTACCAAAGAAAAACTATTTTTACAATCCTGGCTCAAAACAGTTATTTAGGTAATTTTTTACACGATATTGTACATTCAATAAATGATCTATCAAGGTTTCATGTATAACTAAAATGTAACTCTCCTTTCCTAGAATAAGCTACCCCCTCATCCAGATTGCCACACAGTCGGGGAAAAGTGTTTATCTGACAGTTACCAAGGATACCAGTGACAGCATGGTGCTCCTGTTCAAACTGATCAGCAATAGAGCGGCCAGCGGACTGTACAGGGCCATCACAGAGACACATGCCTTTTACAGGTGAGGCCAGGGCTCCAGTAACCACGTATCTGCTGTAATCATTGACTAGTGTGTCCTGAATAAGAGCATATTTACAGTGACAGTAAATGATTACTTCACTGAATGCTTTATAAAGTAGGTTAGCATGGAAAAAAAAAACAGTTTATAACAAGTTCTGCTATTTTACCACACAAAAGACGGGGAACAAAACATGCCTGTAACCTGAGTGCACTGAAAAATACAGTGACATGCTTTAGTTTGGACAATTCAAAAGGCTGAGCTATGAAATTGCTTCACTGACAATGCAGCGAAGTACAAAAGATAGGCTGGCCTTTTGTTTTAAGTCTGACAGTTTGCAGCTTTTTGTATGTTGAGTTTTATTTCTTGTTTTTAAAAGTATCTTTATGGTTTTCTTTTGCAGGTGTGACACAGTAACCAATGCTGTCATGATGCAGTACAGCAGAGATTTTAAGGGACATCTTGCTTCACTTTTCCTCAATGAAAACATCAACCTTGGCAAGAAATATGTTTTTGACATTCGCCGCACTGCCAAGGAAGTGTACGACCATGCCCGGCGGACACTGTATAACTCGGGTGTGGTGGACTTGGTGTCCCGTAACAACAGTGGGGAGCGCTCCTCGCCCTCGCGATCTCCGAGCCGGGACCACCAGCTGGAGGAGGGACTGGACTGCGGCAGCTGCCAGCAGAGCCGCGAGCTCCAGGAGAGGCTACAGAAGCTCCGGGAGGCCCTGCTCTGCATGCTCTGCTGTGAGGAGGAGATTGACGCCGCATTCTGCCCCTGTGGACATATGGTGTGCTGCCAGACGTGTGCCAGCCAGCTCCAGGTGAGCAACTGAGATCATCTAAAGAAACTTGACCAAATCTATGCATTTATGAGTACATGAGCAACTGCCTTTATAAATCAACCTTGGTGATCAAAACTGCAGATGTTTTGTGCTTCTCATCAGCTCTCTACAGCACCCAGAGCTGTGCTGAAACTCTGCTGGCCTCACTGGCCTCTCTTAATCAGCTAAATGAGCTTCATCTTTGAACAGATGGTGCAAGTGTTATTAAGGGATTATGGCAGCCAGCAGATCCTGCCCCATTACTGAAAAAAACGTGACTTGGCTAATAGTCACTAATGAAGTAGTGATAAAAGTTTGGAGAAACATTTTGATTTAGACTTTTCCTCTGACCTTCACTCATAATGCCAGTGATTACTAATATCTGCTGTGTCAGTCAGGACCAAGAGGCCAAGTGACCCAAGAACAGTCCAGTACTGTTTCAGTACTTTTCTGCTCAGATATATTAGTTGTTGTAGCATGGTGTGTCTAATGATTAAAATGCCCATTCTCTGTCCACAGTTATGTCCTGTGTGCCGGTCAGATGTGGAGCACGTGCAGCATGTGTACCTGCCCACATGCACAAGTCTGCTCAGCCTCACTCTGACGGACAACCACCAACACCGCAACAACATCCCAGCTCCAATCTGTAGAGACATGGCTTCTCCTCACAGCTGCCCTGACTATGAGCACAAGATCTTCCACATGTGAAGAGCTCCCCTCATGTCACTGTGGCTCTTAAAGACTGTGGACTATTGCAGTTAACAACTCAACCACTCCACCTGCTCCTGTGTGCTTGTCTGTTCACGATGTTGTCAAATTCACAATTTTTTAAAACACTTCCCTGCTGCAGTTAGATTTGAAATTAGTTTCTTATATTTTGTTAAGTTATTGTATCAGTTGACCTGATCAGTTTTGTTTTTGCTCTATATCAGGCCCATGGCCACACAACTCCTATATTTTATACTGTACATATCCTTTATCACTTTTAATGCTGCCATTTTAAAGCTCGTCACAACTGCATTTTACCATGTGTCTAGTGATGCTTTTTATATTTAATTTCTTATGTGTTATCTTGTTCCGCATTTCCATGCCAATGAGGGGGTATTCAAAGGGAGCAGCTCTGCCTGTGTGGTGCACTGCATACAAATGACACTCACTGAAATATGGTCCAGGGCTGTGACCCAGAGGTCTCAAAGGGTCTTTGTACCGATATAACTGTGACCATAAAGCCAAACCAGTATGTGGCTCACACTCCACTTCAAATCAAAGACTACTGTCTGGATCTTACCAACAGAAGAGTTTAGAAATAAGTGACCATGATTGTTGTAAAATGGGTCTTGGTCGTGCAGTGGCTGTCTTCTTTGTCAACCTCCAGTTATTCCTCTCTGGGGTGTACTCGTGAATTGTTTGGATAATTGAAAGGGTACTAGGAGATCTATCTGTGCAATACTGCTTTTGAAAAGCTTTTCATTTTGTTTTATTTAATTTCAAAAACTATTTAAAAAAAACAACATTGTCACTTTACCAAGAAAGTTTTCCCTGTGTCTGTAGGAGTTTGCCTTAATGTAGCAGAAATGCCGTGTCTATCCTAAACTTCTGCAGACTTTGTGTGAAAAGGAAAACTCTCTTGCTGACTCAGTCACTGCAGGGGAACGTTGATTATTTTTTATCACATTGTACAAGTAGCAATTTGTTTCTATTTTCTGAAGCAAAAGCCACTATTCTCTGTCAATGCGTGTAACTCTTAGAAATAAATTCTTTTGTATTTTAACAAAGGAGAAAGTATTAATAAAGCTGTTTTCTTTTTTTAAATTCTAACTTGTGTTTTTATGTTCCACTGTTACTCTGCACATGCACTTAAAGGTAAAAAAAAATTAAGAAAACACTGTGCAAAAACAACTGTAACTTTAGTCATTTGTTCTTTCAAACTAATGGAGTTTGAAGCTGCTCTCCAGGTGGACTGCTCTGAGAAAGGTCAAGATGTAGTTTGTCATGGTGAGGTCATGTGTCTACTGATGGGGACTGACAGGCTCCACTGGCCTGTGATTAGAAAGGCTAAAACAAGCGTTATTGATCAGACTCTACTATCTCCAGCCCCAGTTGTTTTGAAGTTGACCATGCAAAACACCACCTGGACTCAGACAATACAGTTAAAGTTAAACATTAAACTAAAAAAGTTTTATAGTGGGACAAAGGTCAGCCACGAAGTGGGGCATTGCAAGTTTTAAGAGATAAATTACTGCTCATTTTATGTGTACCACTGCTGTTGAGACACATTTACAAGAAAACTATGCAGGTTATAATCATAATCTTGATCTACTTCAACACACAAATATATTGTTTAATGTGCCAATAAAGATAAGCTCCAAATATCAAATACAAGAAAACACTGGAAAAAAGACATTATATTGGAGTTAATGGAAAAGAAAACCTAAACTTTCGTATTGTTTTTGAACTGAAATGTGATTCAGTGAATGAAATGGAAAGTCACTTAAGACAGCCAGGCCTACTGTAGAATGTGTCATGGTATTAGGAGTTCAAAAGTTGAGTATACTCGAGCAGAAACATTTAATTCTTTTATCTAACTCTTTAATTAACCTTTATAATTCATGAGCAATGAGTGAAAACAAAAATCAAATCAATCTGAATGTTGGTCTGCCATTGGACTAGTTTTAATACATGTGTGTTTTGTGACATTTCTTTTCGAGTAAACAAATTGTACCTGTATAGTAGCCAAGATATTGCCAGTTTTTCCACTGAATTGCCTTTGGATTCATCTCAGTCACATGTTTTGAGCTAATGTTGCATTCTTCACACCCCTCCCTTAAACATCTGCTGCATGTATGACTAATTTTGAAATGCTTTTTTAATGCCACTTTAGATCATAGATTCTTCAAAGATCATTTAATGAAAACTGAAAACTGTTCCTGGCTTTCAGTTTCCTGTTAGAGAACGCTTTTCACTATCCATAGAAAATTTGTAATTTTTCATCACTCAAACCTATGGAAATGAACCACAATACTGCAGTCAATTTATTTATTTTAATTAATCATGGACTGGATTTATTTCATAAGTAGATTATTTTATTTTTATTTTTTTGGAAGTTTGTAGCCTTGTTATTTTGACAACTGATGTCAGGGAAACAGGACGGAGCACCCCCAAAACTTCAGCTCTTATGGTTTTAACAGCAGTGGTGGGACATAATGAAGTAAATGTAATAGAGTACAGTGCTTAAGAATACATTTTAGGTCTCTGTACTTAACATAAGTTTTAAAATGGATACTTTTTACTTTTACTATTACAGGACAGAAAAGTACTTTTTATTATAATTTGAGATCAGCAGAAAAGGCTGAGGGCTTTTTTTTTTTTTTTTTTTTTTAACACATGTAGTGTGTTTGGGTAAAAAAAAACTATACAAATAAAAGCTGCTAATTCCATTCCATTGTTTCTGTTGAAATTCAGCACAAAGCCTTATTAGAGACTGCAGATGGAAAATAGCTGTTTAGCTATAATCTCAACATGTTTTTATGAGCTTAATGTCTGTACATTGTCCCTTCAAATAAAGACTAAACTATTAACATGGCTACATTTGAAGCTTTATTAGACCTCAAAATCTGCGCAAAATACTTTTGCATTTTACTATTAAGTACATTTTCAAACAGGTACCTTAATTCTTTTACTTAAGTTGATTGTTTTATGTGATGTTTATGTTTGGTCCAGTATCTGTATTTTTACTTAAGTAACAAAATTAAGTACTTCTTCCACCACTGATTAACAGTCTGCAGTGATCCAAAGTACCAGTGGTCAGAAAATGTGAGCAGGTAATCTGCATATAAATAAACAGGTAATGCTACATCTGCTCATTGTACTCAAGTCCACTGAACTGCATTCGACCTATTTCCCTGAAGAAGTAGCTTGTTTAAGGCATTTCACACTTATCAGCACCCTCTTACTGAAAAGTATGTCACTAGATGAGCACTTTCTGAAGCACGCTCTGATCTTGCAGAGGCTTAAAGTAGGTCTAAATCCCTGATGTAAGAGACTCCCCAGTTTTCATCACCTGTCACAAAGAAAAACAAGTAGAATTTGTAAGAAGCGTTGTTTTAAGTCATGCCAAGGACCAAACATCAAAGACTGGAACCAGTTTCACCCTGCCCATACCATGCTGTGTACATCTGCTGGTTTATATGACAGAAGGATGTTTTCTCCTTGGGTAAATGTTAGTGGCATCTTTGCAGGCCAATTTGTGCCCCAGCTGCATACCAGGCTTTTCTTTGCTTTGTCCCAGGAAGTTTTAGATCAGAGTAAACAGTCTATCTAAACTAGGCTATTTGGGTTGTGTCATGGACAGCACCTAAACTCATGGCTGCTGGCTCTTGTCTGGCAAACTTTATCAACAAGAGCCACAGGCATTTCTTCCCTTTAATGATAGGACTTTCAAGTGTGTGCCAGTTTTTGTGTCTTGTGTGTAGGCCCAGTAATTACAGAGATATTAACCATAAACCAGTACACGCAATGTGAAATGTGATAGGCCCTACTTAAACTGTTAAATCCACCATACAATTCTGACCTGTCCTACAGCTCAATTTTATAAATGTATTCTTTCTCGAATGTTGTGATGTAATATGGCTAAACTCTAATGTAGGTTTTAAAGGACTTGGCCTAGAGTGGAAGTTTCTGGAGAGTTACTGATATGAAGTACGGCGTATTCTCCCACCGTATGCCCGTGCTCCCCGTTTATCTAAGCTTGGGACTTGACTGACAATAAAATGCTTGTGGCTCTAGTTGATGTGATAAGTGAATAAAGTTTGCCAGACAGGACCAGCAGCCGTGTGTATGTGTGTGTGTGGTGTGTGTGTGTGTGTGTGTGTGCGTGTGTGTATGTATGTATGTATGTATATGTGTGTGTGTATATCTCAGACTGAGACCGAGTTATCAATCTGAAAAGAGTGAAATAATGGGCCTACAAGGAAAAAGGAAAAAAACACAAAAAAAAAAAAAACAAAAAAAAACAAAACAAAAAAAAAACAAAAAAAAAAAAAAAAAAAACGAAAAACTGAAAAAAAAAAACAAAAAAAAAAAAACGTCACATTGACCTTTCACCTACTTAGAGCTACATCTGTAGCATGCAGGCTAACACCTGAGCACAGCTGGCTGTGTGCGTCTGTCTCTCTCTTATCTTGAATGGTTTATAACTGCACCAGGTCAGCGGCTTGTTATCTGTTCACACAGAGTGACCAGAGCTGGAGAGCAGTAGGTGACCCGCTTTAACTTTGCATGTCATTTCAAAGATTGTTATTATTTTTACAGACCTTATAATCTATCTTCGTGTATTCAAATTCAAGATGCCACTGATGATGCTTGCTCGGGTTTTAAAGAGCTCTAATGGTTTTACAGTAATGATCAAAGTTTGTTCATCAAAAGGAGCAAGTAGTTGCCAGGAAACAGCTCTCGCGCGCGCCTTTGAGTCGCCTGTGGTCTCTTTGTCTGTGCTGACATCTACTGACTAAATATTGTAATGCATCGCAAAAGTCAACCTCCTGAGAAATAGCTTTCCATGCAACTATTTTGTTATTAGGCTATTATTAGGCGTATTTGTTTTTTATTAAAAAGTCTTTGCATTTGGGTCCCCAAGTCTCAAGTCAATAAGACTGAGTTGCAGAATAGGTCTATTTTCTCTATATATGATATAGGTACTATTTTTAGCCCTTACACGTGTTGCTTGAGTGCTGTTTGCTCAGAGCAGTCCTCTCTCTTTCTCGTTAGTCAGCCTATAATTGATCCACTTGATGGACCTTGCAGACCATGCAGACCTGTCTCATGTGATGTGTGTTCCAGCCGTAATGCCCCGAGTGGACAGCAGGTGTGCTCTTTCACACTGCAGCACACACTGCAGCAGTGACAGCCTGGCGGCTCTGCCAGCCTGGACACTGCTGCTGCTGCCACTCTGCTCTAGGAGAGAGGAGAGGGGGGAGAGAGGAGTCCAGGCCCAAATACAGTCATGGGGGCCGGGGCGAGGCAGGGCCCCCCTTTGGTATAAATACGCTGGCCGTCTGGAGGTTCGGGTTTGGTGGTTGTGGTTTGGGACCACTGACCACTGCTGCTGCTGCTGTGCTCAGAAGACTCTCCTCTGCATCTTCTTCATCCTGGTCTTCATCCTTCTTCTGGAGCGCAGACATGCCTCGTGTGGACGCGGACCTCAAACTGGACTTCAAAGATGTGCTGTTCAGACCCAAGAGGAGCAGCCTCAAAAGTCGCTCAGAGGTCAGAGCTAAAGTACTTTGTTTAATACTGCTGATTCACCACTGCAGCCCAAAGGACACTGAGGCACTCAGTCTCCTTTGAAGAGGGACGTGACTGGAATAACAGACACACACACAGATGCTGTGTAGGTGAGAGAAGAGGCAGAACTGAACACCTTAACACATAGAAGATTATGCAACAAGCTTCTCTTCATTAGTTAGAATTCTTTCATAGATGTAGGTGGTGGAAAATACTGTAATGGTGGCATGACCTTCATGACAGGTGACATGACTTGGCCAAAAGGTTTTCATCACAAGCTGACAAATGCCACTAGCACAGACAGTGGATGCTTATTTATGGTTTTGTATGTTAATGTCAGGACCACCTAAAGTCTCATTATAATTTATTTATTGCTCTTACTCTTTGTAAACATGCTCTCCCTGGATCAAGGACAACGGTGACAGGCCCAGATATCAGAGCTGAGTGGAGCTGGTGGCAGTTTGGAGAGCAACATGAGACAACATGGGAGCGTTCTCAGAAACCTGTTTAAAAATAGAGCAGTGTGGTACAGTGGG